AAAAAAAAAAAAAAAAAAAAAGAGGCTCAGAGCAATCTTCTGGCCCAGAAGCTCTCCGGCTGGAAGGAGATGACCCCGGAAGCGTGTGTGTGCATACAGGTTTCCCACCTTTCCAAGCCAGAGGAGCTCCGCTCTTAGCGGCTCTAGACGTCAGGCTCCCTGGAGCACTGGAATGACCGCTGCATGCCAAGCTCCACATTTTACAGGTCACAAAACCAAGGCCAGAGAGGCAGCGTTAGGTATCCACAGGGCCAGAGAGGTAGCATGATTGTGTGAATTCCCAGCTCACATGCCATTATACTGTGATAATACAGCTGTAAGATCTTAGGGCATGAAATACTGGTAACTAAGATGAGGAATTATTCTCTGATAGTTACTTTGCAGAATAGCTCCTGATGTTACCTGTATACACGACTCTTGGAATGAGCCCTTTCACTTCTCTACCTGTCCAAGGAGTTTCAGGGAGTCTGTGCAACCCCTAAAAGAGTGCATTGAATTTTACACGTTTGTGTGTACGTGTATATTTTAGAGGAGACGGTCTACAGCTTTCATTTGTTCTGCAAAAGTATCTGTGATTGCGCCTAATGATAAGAACCGAGGTACCTGGGCCAGGGAACAGAAGGGAAGCCGGCCACAAAGGCACAGTTTATGTTTAGTGCCAGGAAAACTGATCGGAAACTGCCCTAACACGAGAGGCATGTTTCCCATTAAACTACTCGGGTTACACAGGTAAACGCGCAGAGGTGAAAACAAAGCTGCACGGCATTCATGAGAATACAGTGCTTCATAGACTGATAAAAACAGATTTCATTTTACTCCTTGGATTTTACACACTCAAAAAAATACCGGAATGACATGCAACCTTCCCTTTGTAAGCCAAAACCAGGACTCCAAAGCCCTGAATAATTTGGGGGCGAGGGGATTATTTCTGTCTCTGAATATCCCCCTCAGAAAACGGCGGCGAGGAAGAGGCCCGATGACCGCCGACAGGGAACAGCTGCTCCTTTCGGTCCCACTGCGGGCCTTCGGGGAGGGCGCTCATCTTCCATAACGGCCACCAGGCGAACCCTGACGCCCGCCTCCTGCCCTTGTGTGGTAACGGCAGGGAAGTGGGAGGCTGGTGCGGCCTGAAGATGCGGCTCATTACGTTCCTGGCCGGAGGCCTTCCCTCCCGTCCCCGGTCCTGGTCTGGGTCCCCCGTCCCCGCCAGGACTCGAGCTGAAAGCCGCTGTAGGGGACGGGCGCAGGCTGAACTCTCTCCTGCGCGGGCAGGAAACAGATGGGAAAGCAGCTGAGGGAAACCCAAGAGCGAGCGGGAACCGGAACCTGGGAAACAGTCCTGGACTGCATTTTGAAATAATGGTCGGTATTTATCGGGAGCATCTCCTATAATGAAGTAAAACAGAATTTCCCGAGGCCGGGAGAGTGTAATGGTCTAAAACCCAGGAGTGACACTTGCATTCCAGGGTAAAGACTGAGCCACCGAGCTTCTCACCTAAGCCTCCCCGTGAGGGACATCGGCATGGACACTGTCCTCCGGGGCCAGTAAACTAAATGACATGAAGATGGTCTGCGCCGAGAGGCACCCGGCCCAGAGGGTGCAGAGCCATAGATGGGCAGTGGCACTGATGTAATTATGGGCTTAGATGGATCTCCAAGCCAGACCGGAAGTCGAACCACAGTCCTTATGGGAAAAGAGAGACTATGAAGATAATTAGAAAAAAAAAGCCAAGGAAAGATACTCTACTTAAAAAAAACCCCAACAAAAATCAAACCTAAGACTCTGAATAAAACCCCGTGTCTGCACAGGGACCTTCGTGGTCCTCCGACACGCATAAAGCAGGACGGGGCCACACACGTCTTTATGAGCTCGGCTGCAGAGCTGCGTGCACGTGCAGGGCAGGGTGTGACTCCCTCCCCGGGCCTGCCGGGGCCCCGAGGTCCATGTGACTCCGTGAGCGTCCAGAACAAGGGTCTCGGGAGGGAATTTCACAAGCACGGAACATATTTTTCCTCCCTTGACGCTGCTTTCTAGTTTTTCTCTCCCTCTGCTATTGTTTAATTTGTGGTTCAGCTTTTTGAAGAATGGTGGGAGGGACTGCGTTAAGCAATGCTGTAAGAATGGGGCTCAGCTGCTGGGCCTGCAGTTTGAAAACTGGCCTCCCACATCTTTCAAACCAACTGTGATTCCACTTAAAACAAAGAGAGGGAGATGCAGGAAGGAGGGCAGGCGGCAAGTCTTTTTCGTCCTGTGCGCACCATCGACGGCCAGCACACAGTAGGCGCGGGGCAGATGCCGCCGGCTCGAGGGAACTGGCCGTTTTATCTAAATAGCTCCGGTTCTGCTTTCTTTCCACATCGAGCCAACAGTCATATCACTTAATGTGTTTTTGAACAAACTTGTCTCGATCCCATTAGTGAAAATGATTAAATGACCGAATCTGGCACAATATTATCCCGACGAAGGGTGTCGGGAACCAAGAAAAGTTACCGGAAATGCGTATTTTAGAAAGCATGAGGATACCAAAGCACAAATGACACAGGCAAGATAACAGAAAAGCCAATTCTTTCTTCACGATGAAGCAAAGAGCCTGGTTATTACTAACATTAATTACCTGAGCAATATTTTATCCAAGAGCTTTATAGTAATAATAATTATTAATTCACGCCCCTGAGAATAAGAAGAAGCAACTCAATTCTTTGACTATGACAATTTTATAGGCTGAAATGATGCTCATAAAGGGTACCTATTAAGTATGATTTCAATTATATTTCACAAAGTATATTTCAACTGAAACTTAGGAAATCTCTACATGGCTAATAAGCTTGGAGACAGTATTATATACAGGATATTTAAGTGACTAAGTCTGGACAAAAAAAGAGAGGTTTAAAAAGCATAACATTCTTTTAAAAATAAGTACATTTTAAAGAAAATAATAAAAGCAAACAGTACAGGTTTAAAGATAAGAGCGCAGATTCTAAGAAATTCTCCAGAAGCCCTGCTAAGGCCTCATCTCCCAGGTGTGAGAGCAGTTAGAGAAACTTCTGCCCTGGCCTCCTCTGACCGGCTGGTAAGATCCGACAGGCTCAGAGCGAAGAGGGAAATCCTTGGGTCTCATGGTGACCAGAAGGGAAGAGACTGGGCACAGTCCTGAAGACACTTTAAATTTTAGGAAGACAGAGTTTAAACAGTTTAGACAAAGAGATGGGGCACAGTCTTTGACAAGAAGTTCAGGAAGGACCGGGTGGTTTACAAAGACACAATTCTGTGGATGGGGACCTGATAGCTGAAAACAGATTTTACTTCAGGATCCAGGCAATATGATACGTTAGAGGGTGAAGGGCTGTACAGTCAATAATTATTTTCCAAATAGCTGGCTCTTCGGGAAAATGTTTAGCTATCTTGAAAATGATTTAATTACTGCCTCCCATCACGCTTTTCCCCAAATAAATCCTAGCAGCAGGACCAGAGATTTAAGGGTGAAAACAGAACCTTTACAGAAATAACGCTAGTTGGAAATGCAGGTAGACGACTGACTTTAAACACAGAAAATGGCAAGAAGTCTGTCAATTCTAATTGTGGACAATAACTATTAGGGATTTTTAGGACTCACTTTCAAACACTCTGCTAATATGTTCTATCCCAGTTTGTGAACCTTGAGTCTGAGGGATCAAATTAATAAATAATCTGACACTTACCAATTCTAGATAGAATAACTTTAAGGAGCTTTAAAAATCAGAAGACCTAGGATGCAGTCGACGTCACTGAAATCTGACAATATTAAGGAGAACTTACCTGCAGCAAATAACAGCTTTGCAGGACAAAGCCAGGTCCAGGAAGTAATGCCGCACTCCGAAAGTCAAGGCGTACTTGAGGGTCTTCCCATCGATTATAAGAGCAAAATCGTTCTCCTTCCGAAGGGCATCGCCCAGGGTGGTGCAGTGACGACTGAGAGTTTCCCTCGTTCCCTGTAAAATTAAATTTAAAAAAGCCCATTTGTTCTACCTTAAGGACGTTCAGCAACCACATTTAGTTATTTTTAGTGCTTTTGATGTTTCAAAAGGTTTTCATGTACCTCCACGAATTTGATTCTCACAAAAGCCCCTCAAAGGAGATGGGACAAATGTTATCAGGAGAAATAAGTTGCTTGCTCAAAGTCACAAACGTGTTCCTACAGGGCTGGGACTAGATTTACAAATCACCCATTCCTCCCGGATCACTGCTCATCACCCCAACCACAATCCTGATCCCACAAAACCATGTTCAGCAAATTATCTCATTAACAAACAACATTGCCCTAAACTTATGAACTAGTCAAAACTGCTTAGCCAACAATCAAGGAGAAAAGTTGGAGAATGTAATTTAAATAAATAACTTATGAGTATTCTCGCAGAAGTATTCAATGCCACTGAAACTTAGTGCCTGGTGACCAACCGGAGAAAATGCAGTATCTATAATCTCTTGCCAACTCATGAACTGGCCTCTATCACTTTAATTATTAGTCCGTGATGCAGTATTTTAGTTGGGGATGGTGCCCTATGGCTGGGTAATCTTGACGGATCAAATAAAAGCCCCCGTTCCATCACAGAAGAGTTCATGTTCAGGCACAATGAAAACCTTGAGTGTCGAGGAAAGCTTCGTTCATCTCGACCGTACAGAGAGGCTGTATGAGTCTCTCTGTCAAGAACTGCTTTCCCAGCTCTTCAAAGGCAAACAGTTTCAGGATATTCAGTTTTTCTCCCCAAATCCTGTAGATTCTCTTTATAAGCTAACGTGACCAGTTTCCTGTTGCACAAGAGCCCCCGATGCTGCAAAGAAACATAACACTGGCCCTGCACAAGGTAAAAACAAGGAATGATTCCTCTTCTATTAGAGCTTTGTTCTGAGTGCTAATATCTGGGCCTGCAGTTATTTATATAATAAATGCAAATATACATTTATACAGTAAAACATACCTACAATGAAAATACTCATAATAATTTTTTACTATATTCATGGGAGAGAGAAGTACTGTTCCAATTGAAGAATGTGGTCCAGTCATTTCAAAGTTATTTTCACAAAGGCAGAGGCGGTTAACATTTTATATTGGGGGTTTGGGGAGGTGTTTTTGAATCATATTAAAATGTGGGTCACACTGTGTTCTGGAATTTCAGAATCTGTTGATCAAAATAATGGAACCAGACTGTACTGTAAAGTAAGACCGCCCAATTTTCCCAGCCCTGGAACTCGACTTAACGCTCCCCCTGCTCCCTGTTACATGCTGACACCAAGGACCACCAAATAGCAACATTCTTCCAACATTTTCTGTTCACACTTTACATTGAGGGGAAGTAGCTGTTGAAATTTATAAGTGTCACCCTCTTACGTCCTGATGGAAATATTTGGTCCAAGAGGCATTAAGAAAAGCATGTAAAAAAAAATTGTCAGTAAATTTCTGCAAGCAAGATTTACCAATGACAATCTACAGTCGGTTAGCCTGGATTGTTTTAAAACTGTCTGTCTTCACCTAGAGTAAATGAACAAACAAACGAATCAATGAACTGACAAACAACAGAAATGAAATGAGTCAGTATTTAGCACGAACCACACACTAGGTGTGGTTCTAAGGACTACACATACAGATACAACATTTCAGTGAAACTCATGACAACCCTACACAGAAGGCCCTCCTGTCATTCCCATGCTGCAGATGAGAAACCTGAGACAGAGTTCAAATTCCCTGCCCACGAACACATGGCTACTAAATAGTGAAATGAAACTGAGAATGAAATTTCTGTGCAAGCTTGTCTTCCTCCGCAAAACCCAGCAAAACAAACCCAACTTCAGACAGTACCAGGCCTAGCAAATTATACATGGAATGCCCACACATCCCCTCTGCTGTTTCCCTAGAGCCCCCATCATCTGCCTCTCACCTCTTTACTGCCCACAGAGATTTCTCTTTATGAAACAAATTTAAAACACAGATCATGCCTCTGCTTGTTCTAACTTTTTTCCTATGGCTTCCTACTGTCTTGTCTACACAATATATTCCAAATTCCTTAAAATGGCATTTAAGGCTTTCTCCAATCAAAGCCCAACTAACATTCATCCTACTTCTCTTCACCATCTCAACTCCTTTATTTCCTCTCTCTGGAATGCCTCTCCCTCCAGAGGCTGGTCTACCACCCTCTAAACCAAGCTTACCCCCCCAATCCCTCCCAGGCTCACTCCCTGCTGACAGGTGTAACTCACTCTATGCTAGCAAGGCCCTTGGCTCCCGGAGAGGAGAGACCACATGTAACCTGCTTCCCAGCAACAAACACAGTTGGCCTGCAATTACAGATATTTGGGAAATACAAATTTATTGAATGAGAGCACTGATAGATTCTGATTTCATCTACTGGCAGCATCCCATTTCCCTATTATAACTTGTGATTTTCAGAGAGAGAGAGAAGAGAGGAGAGAAGAAGGGAGAGGAGAGAGGTGTTCCCTAATTTTCTAGAGGAATAACCGATTACTTCAACAGTTTTCCAAATCAATGCATTGCTCACTGAAATGCCACTCTATTTTTTAAAGTTTCTGCCTAAGTGTCTCCAGAGCTGAAAACCTAAATGAAACCCGAGACAGACCTCAGGAAGACTTCAAATTTCTTTAAAGATCAGCTGCAGAGCGCGACTGAAAGTGGAGTCAACCCCTGAGCTGTGCAAGCTCCCTCATAAAGCCACCCCTCTCTCCCTCCTTTGGAAGGCGTTCTCTAACCCCTTACCATTTGCAGCGAATTCGCTTATTTGTGGCATCAGGACCCTGGGTTTCCTTGATGATCACAGATCTTTAGCAAATCAAAAGCTGTCAGGAGACGTAACTGAGATAAGATTTTAGAAGGCGAGTCAAAAAACATCCCACAGCGAATTCTCTAGCCAGCCCGCCTAGGGTGCAAGGTAACAACAGGAAAGCTGCAAACATTTTCTCGTTTTAGTTCACGGTTTTCTTTCGCAAGTGGCTCTGGTGTTGGCTGTGTGCTGCCAGTTACAAGTTATATTTTACTCTTATTTAGACTGCCAGGAGTATTTTAAAATTCTTTTATTTATAAAAGTTTATTGCTTCTCCCCTAAGCCCGGGAGCCATACTTTATGGCCATACTGCACTGAAGCTTATCTCCTGTAGCTAGAAATAAATTTATTACTATATTAGCTGTTGCTTTGTTTTCATTTTGGCTACTGAAGGGGGGAAATGTTTAAATATTTAAACTTAGTGACATGTGAAAGTGAAAATATATAAATGAGAAGCTAAATCAGAAACGGAATAAAAGACCACAGAGCTCAACAAAATAAAGGCCCTGTATCTCCTCACGCCACACGGTCTTCTCTGTGGGCCAAAAGAAAGGGAGCAACTGTTGCTGTAATCAGGGAGAGTCAGGGGTGAGGGCAACCTGGGGGGTCAGACAGGCAAGGGGCGGGAGCCACAGGGAAAGGGGGGCTTGTGTGCACCTCCCATAACCTGCACCCCGTGTGGACACTTCGGTCAGTCGCTCGGCCCTGTCCTCTCTGCCCACAGCCAAGCGGTCATCAGAAGCCCTGGGCCCTGGCCTTCCCACCACGCTCTCCTGCGGCCAATTCACACGTCAGGCCGCAGCCAACGTTCTCCTGGGCTCTCAGTGTTGACAGCAAAGGAGGGAACCACCCCCCTCCCCACAAGGACGGCTCTGCGCCGCTTTCCCATCTACGGGCGCCCATCGCTGCTGAGCCGGCCCGTTCCCGCGGCTCACGGACTCCGCTCTTCCCAGAGGCCACTCCAGACCCTTCCTTCTCCAGATCCCAAATTTGGACCCTGTCACTTCAGCAAACATCTACCTGCTTTACGGAGAACATTTATACCAGAAAGAATTCCAACTATCCTCGTTAACCTAAACACTTCCCTTTACCTAACCCTCCCTAATTCTTGGGGGGGGGGAAGAACTCTCTTCTCCCCTCCCCGCTGTTGTCCCAGTTCTCTCCAGCATCTTCATCTTCCCAATGCCATTATTTTTTTCCCCTTCAAGACTACATACTAAAATCAATGAACAAATAAATAAGCCAAGAATGGTCCCTTGATCCGACTTTTCCTGAGTCGTCCAGGTGACAAGAACGCTTCCACCTTTTAGATTCTTCAAATACTGTCTGTCCTTACGCAACGTAACAGGATGTTTAGTAGCTTATCTGTTTATATCTCTATTTCCCTTCGGGACTGGGGCCCTTGATGAAGAGATGAAATGAAATGAATAAAGGCTTGGTAATAGAAGAGTAACTAAATTATTAATGAATGCAGAATACCCTGTGGGAAGTTACAATGATTTTCTTGGCTGACCATTTTGAGGATTGTTTCCTGCTGCCTAAAAAAACTCATGTATAATTTTGGATACTCTTAATTAAAACAATAAATAAAATGGTAATGTGCTTATCCTGTAGAAAAAATGGAGAACAAAGTGGATGTTATGATCCAACGACTACTTCACCCTGAAATAATATAAACTGTCTAATGAATATCACAGAATGAACACCTTGACTAGCTACTCAGCGATCCACCCAGGTTGCGCAGCAGTGGGCCAATGAAAAGTAAACCATGTAAATTTGGTTTAGAAGACACTGTGCTTGGAAAAGAAAAAGACACTTGGCAGACAATCCGGCCAAGTAGAATTCCTCACAAAGATAACGCCGACCAGAAGGCCTCAAAACAGTTCCACTGGAATCTTTAGGGTACAGCCTGGAAAAATAGATAACATGCTCATAAAACAACTATCTTAATGAAATCAGAGACTGGCAGCTTTATGGTAATCTTTTTCATCACTTTTATATGACCTCAACCAAGGAAACCCTTGCTAAAAATCACGGAGGGCCCAAGACAATGACATCGGACACAATTTTATGGCGAAATGGCGCGAAAGCCCCGACTTGTCTGGGGAGTCTGGCAGCGTGCAGGACGTCACTTTCATTCTGGCACAAACCTGCTTGGA